CAATTCCCAATGAGAAATGTAATTGTGTTGTATACCTACAATGTACCAATAAAAGAATTTAATACAAAAAAAAAGAAAAAAGAAAAAAGAAATGCCCAGCATGCTCTTGCAAACGTCTGGGTGGGTAGTGGAGGTGTGACTTTGGGTACTTCATCTGGTCCCTGGCTTCTTCCTCCCTGGCATTGTTTCCCTGCTCTACTTCCAGGCTGCCATGAACTGAGCAGCTTTGCTCTACCACACCCTTCCACCATGACACTCCTGCCTTGAAGCCAGCCGACCATGGACTATACCTCCTGAAACCATGAGCTAAATTAAATCTTTCTTCTTTTAAGTTATGGATGTTGAGTACTATATTTCAGTGAAAGGAAAACAAACCAATGCAATGGACTAAGATCTAACCTTAGGTCTTTTTTTATATGCCTTTTCCCAAATGTCAAGATCAGAGGCTATCCATATAATTTTGAAACACTAACAATTCAGAAATATAAAAACAAAAATCTGTAACTGTTCAGTTATTGTATTTTGTAAAAGTTCACCTACTTGGTTCAAAAATTTTGGCAAAGCTACAGCCTACATGAGACTGTGGTATGCTAAGCAGTGCGTTACTAGCCTTGAGCTCATTTGTGCTTATATGACTACACAGCACAAAGTCTGACATGGTTAATCTCACATGGACTCTCGGCACTTTGCATTCACACTCTTCTCATGCTTATTAAAACATGCTTAAAAACTAAAGAAAATGATTCAAACATGAGTAAAACTGGCAAGAATACAAATGTACTCCACACCACACACACATCCACTGCAAATCATGAACTGGTTCTATACTTGCAAGTAAAGTCCAAAAATATGTGCATCCAATTAAACTATGAATAATGTCACACACACACACACCCCCGCCCACCGGCATCAATGTAGCTGAATTTACTTTCTGCTATTTTCTATCCATCACAATTTCTGTTCGGCTGTAAAATGCCACTTGGCAGTTCTATTCAAACTGCTCCACAATTTACATCAATTGCATACTTGAATGGAGCATGAGTCTGACATTATGATTCTAAAATTATTGTCTATGAAATTCTGGGAATCTTTTGGAAGTGTCCAAAACTTCGACAGTACACAGAGACACACAAAGAAGTCAAACTCTGTTTTTAGGATTCCACAGTTATTTCCATTTTATTTCACATTCAAATTATTTCCTGAAATCATATTAAAGACTTTCTTTTTCCTTTTTGCAAAATTTTAGTGCTCCAGGCCCTGGAATAGCTATGAGACTTTTTTTCCTCAGCACATATATCAAATTCAGGATTTGGTAGACAATTGTTAAACTGTGTCCTACTTCATATAGGGTTTTTTAAAAATAGAAAAATTATTGTAGAACAAAGTCTTTTAAATTTTGCTTATGACTAGAAAATATGAAAGCCAGTCCTTAAGAGCATGTGATTCAGCCCCCAAACCTACTGATGGGAAACTGAGGGGTTCCTGACTGGAGGGCTGATGGACAGATCCAGTTGCTAGAAGCAGAACAGAGACTAGCAGTTGGTTCCTTCCTCCAGCCCAGCATCTTCAGCCTACCACATGGCAAACAGCTAATTCTGTCCCCCAGCATCAAAACAAATGCACAAAATAGGAAAGACTCGCGGCTATTAGTTGGTTATTTTATAAACAAAAATCTTTAAAACTTAAATTAGTATGGATCAAGAGTTGGCACGAACAAGTGAAGTTCGTTTTCGCAGCAGCAATAGCATCTGCACAACATACCCCCTTGGCCACTGCCCTCAGCCCTTCCCCACTCCAAGAGACGTAGTGCTGCTGGCTGCCGATTTCTTCAGCTCTATTTTCATAGACTGAGTCTCAGCTCGAGCCTCGAATTTGGTCAGATTTCCTGCTCCTGGGGCTGCCACTACTGGCTTTCCTGCTTTCATACCTTTTGACATAGGAATGCGGGTGGGTGCAGGCCGCTGGGATGACCCGTCTTGTCCTGACTGGAAGAGAACACAGAGACACAAGGGAGATGCTGGTGAGTTTCCCTTGTACAGGTCATCAGTCTGAACATCAGATGTCTCCTGATACACAGGAACACCCACAGGTAAAGGACTACAAGAAGCTCAGAGTCTACTCTGCTCTCATTACCTCCCCTTTCACTTTCTGTGCTGCACTTTGGCCTAACACCTACCTCCCAGTGCAAATACAGACCACCAGGGGTCAGCTTTGCACCTCCTTCACCAACTTGGTCCCCTCTCCCTCCTGTCTGCCAGTTCAGATGAAGCAGCTCCCTTTCACCTCCTAAGGACACCGACTCGACTCCTGTTTTCAGGGTCACTGCTGACCACATCTTCCTTCTCAAAATGCTCGCTTTCTCTTGCTGTGCTTTCTGAGGTGCATCTCACTAGTTCCCTGCCAGTCTCTCATGACCGTTTTTCAGTCTCTTGTTCTCTCCCTTTTCTGCCTTGTCTTTTAAATGTGTCAAGATATCCTCTTCTCAGGGATTTCTAAATTTTTTACCTTTCCCCTCAGAACCCCTTAGTTATTTCCCTACCTGCCCAAGACCTAGACCTTCTAGCTTTCTGAAATACAGATCTGTATCTCCAGCTACACAATGGACTTCACAGCTGTCCCTGGCATCTCAAAGCTTAGTCTCTTCCCCACCCAGTCCTCCTCTGCTTCCCATCTCACCCACCTGACAACTCAACCAGAAGCCCCAGAGCCACCCCCCTACTCAGTTTGTCATGAAATCTTTGCAATTCTATCTTCACTATCTCTCTCCTCATTTTTGTTGCCACGCTTCAAGCCTGCACCATCTCTAACCTAGAGAATCAAACAGCATCCCTCTTTATCTTCTGTCCCCTCTAATTTATCCTTTAGACTGCCTTCTTGATACAGTATATCTTTCTAAAGTAAAAATAATGTTACATATTTTCAGGATCATTACCTTTCAAGGGTCACCTTTATCTACTCTGTGAAACTAAATTGCTACTCTGTAGCAATTTCATACTAAGACAAGGCCCATCCTCAACAGTTGGCTCCAGTTTGCATCTCAGTATTTTGCACCCCATGGCCCTCAACACCCAGCCACTGAAAGACACAGGGTGGCCCAGTGCTCCCCACCAGGCTGGGCTGCTCCACTATGTCCCATGTCTTGACTTCACATCCGGTGTTCTGCTTGCACATGCCTCCCCTGTCCCTTCTGGAATCCCTCCTTACGGTGAAGCCTTCTCTGGTGGTTCCTTTGTGCATGTTTCTGTCATAGAACCCCATGTAGATCCCATTCCTTCCTCTCCCACTCAGTCAAGAACTATTAAAGTCCCCTTTGCACACCAGCACCATGGCTGAAGTGAGGCTGACACTGAACGCATGTTGCATGAATATATGCACATTTGAAACTAGCCTCGCTACACTGTAAGAAGTGTGTCCTAAACCTTTTATTCTCTTCAATTTTATGGGATCTGATTTACCTAAAGTAAATGGGCCACCATTCAGGCCTTGGAAATCTTAGTCGTTCTGAAATCCTATTTTTGTATGGGGTTTAATCAGCAGTCAAAAATATTGCTACTAAGGCTATCTTGATTGGAACCTGAATATGGAAATAAGAACTTAGAGCAGAAAATCTGCTGTAAATTACAATGATTTATGCTTCTATTTTTAAAAATAAAATGAAGCAAAAAGAAGCAAGAGCCTATGCAAGCTATTATGCTGTTCCTAAAAAGCAGTACTGAGTTATTTGAGAAGGGTGAACAATTTGGAATGTGATTTGGCTCCTTAGGAACCAATAACTAAGAGCTTTACTGGTAAAAAAAAATAGTAATTCACAATCTGAAGTTTGTCTTGAGGCTGTGCTTGTGCACAGGGAATTAATATGTTATACTGACCATATGGGAAAATAAGCCATCATTGGTAAATTTAAATTATTAGCTTCCTATCTTCTTAAGATATTTCAATGTATGCTAATTTGTTCAGAATATAGTAGTCATAATTTCTAGTCTATTTGCTTTAATTAATATCTAAACAGTTCATGTTCTATAAGAATTGTAGCCTGTCAATGAAAACAATCACTGGAAATATATTAAAAATATGATTACTTTCAAGGTCTAGATTTTGTACTTTAGACATACTTTCTTATAATCTTGCCAGCTAGTTATGGAAATACTTTGTAGCATTTGCTCTTTGTAAGATATGATTAAATATAGTTTTTAGACATATAAATTCAGTTTTTTAAAAGTTTTTAATATGAGCCAGCATGGTAGCACATGCTTGTAATCCTAGTACTCTAAAAGGCTGAGGCAGGAGAATTGCAAATTTGAGCCCAAACTGGGCAATTTGGCAACTCAATAAGACATTGTCTCAAAATAAAAGGTGAGGGAGGGTTGGGGATGCAGCTCAGTGGAAAGGGCTTGGGCTCAATCCACAGTACCACACACACACACACAAAAGTTTTTAATATAGAAACCTTTTCGTATTTTTGGAATAAAGTATGACTATAGATATACATAACCACATATTGAATAGTCTGCAGAAATATCATGTAGGAAGTTTGTTTTGTTTTTCAAGACCGGGTCTCATATGTAGTTCAGGATGGCCTTGAACTCACTATGTATCCCAGTCTGGCCACGAATTCACAGCGATCCTCCTGCCTCAGCCCCTGGAGTGCTGGGATGACAGGCATGTGCCACCATGTATGACCAATTTAGGAAGTTTTATATCTTCAACATATTAACCAGTTTCCTCAGTCTCCAGCCTTCCCCCCCGCCCCCCTTAAATTTTCAGACAGCGTCTTGCTAAATTACTAAATTGCCCAGGCTGGGTTGTAATTTGCGATGTTCCTGCCTCAGCCTTTTGGAGCGCTGGGATTACAGGTATGCACCACCATGCCGGGCTAAAAATCAAATTTTAAACCTTAAGATTATTCTATGCTGCCCTTTCCAAGACACAGCCGGTGCAAGTAGTTCGGTGGGTCTCCTTACTTGGCATGAATAAATGAAAATTTCCCTCAAACCCGGCCCAGTTTGTCAAGGTCTGCCGCCCGGTTTTCCCGGGTCAGAGTCCCCGGCCTGCTCCGGGAACCTGTGCTCACCGCCGCCTGGGTGCCCCGCGTGGCCGCGGCTGTGGCGGGCGTGATGGTGATGGTGCTGGTCACCTTGCCTGCGCTGGGCCGCGCGGCGGGCGCCCCGCGGGGTGCGCGGAGGCCGGGGCTCGGGGCTGCCTCCCCGCCCGCGGGCCGCACGGTGATCACGGGGCCCGCGCCCTCGGCCTGCGCGCCCAGGTGGATGCGGATCCTGTTGTCCTCCGTGGTGATGATGCTGGCGTTGGCGTTGTACCTCCGCGGGGTCGGCGGGCCCGGCTGCTTCTCGGGGGTGACCCTGAGCACCGTCCTCCCTGCGGGCGCCTCCTGGGGCGCGGGGGGGAGCGCTGGGCCCCCCGGGGTCCCCGCCGTCTCCGCGGGCGCAGGCGCCGTGGCCACCGTGCGCACCTGCAGGGGCGACGCGCGCCCGTCCGCCGCCCGCTCCCGAGACAGCGTGGTGATGGTGACGGGGGAGGCGGCGCGCTCGGCGTCGGCGCCCGGCGCGGGGACGATGGTGATGCGGGGCGCCTGGCCGCCGAGCGTGGGGATGACGGTCGTGCTGGAGAAGAACTCCTCGGGCGTGGGGCGCGTGATCTCCAGCGTGGCCGCGCCGCCCCCGCGCTCCGGCGTGACGCGGATGTGCAGCGGCTGGCCGTGCCGGGGCGCCAGCACCAGCCCCCCGGGCTCGGGCCGCCCCTCCTGCGGGCCGGGCTCGGGCTCCACGCGCCCCCGCGCCCAGGGCACCCAGGCCCCGCGCCGCGCGCCCTCGCCCGCCGCTGGCGGGTACCGGTCCAGCACCGAGCCGCGGCCCGCGGGCCTGCGCAGCGCCCCCTGGCGCAGGTGGCTCATAAGGTGCTTCTCCTCCTGGAAGGACTTGCGGATGAACATGGCCGGAGACTCCTCCTCGGCTGCCTCGCCGCCCGCGGCCTCGGTCTGCACTGCGGTGGACGCCACGGGCACGTCCACCATCCGGCGCCCTGCCACGCTGGGCCGAAGCGCGCGGCTGTAACGCTTGGACAGCTCCAGTTCCTTGCTCAGGTGGAGCACCTCCTGCCCCATGCTCTTGTTCTTGTTTTCTTCTTCCACAAATCTCTGTTGGAGGACCGAGTAGTCCACCTGCAGCTGCGAAAGCTGGTCTTCCTTGTTCATCAGCTCATGGATCTTCTCTTTGAGGGCCTGCACCTCAGCCTTCAAATCTCGACTCTTGGCCTCTTCCAGCCTGAACCTGTGTCTCAGTTCGGCCTCCTGGCTCACTATCTCCCCTTTCTCTATCGCCTTGTTCTTGGCGATTTGGTGCTTGATCTCCTCTAGCTGCTGAGAGAGGAAGTTGGCCTTGTCCTGCTCAGTTCGGAATTTCTGCTCTAGCTGGTCGTACTCGTCCTCAGTCTTCATCAGATCCCCTTCCACCACCTCCAGCTGTTGAAGGCGCTTCTTCAGCCTCTCGATTTCCAGTGTTAGCTCCTTGATCTTGTTATCCTCTGGGCAGGTGAGCTCAGGCCCTTTTCGAGACCTTCCTCTTCTTTCTCGTTCCACTTCCTCTAGCCCATCGAGTCTCTTCTTTAACAAATCCACACTGCAGCTTAATTCAGAGGACTTTTCTTCTTCACTTTTCAGCTTACCTATCAGCTCATCTCTCTCTTTGGTCAAACTGTACACTTTCTCCTCCATTTCAGACTTCAGTTTTAAGAGCTTCTTACTTTCTTCAATTAATTTTTCAGTTACATCCATAACCTTTCCTTGTTCCACCTTAAAATTTTTATTGAGTCCATCCACTTTTCTCTCTTCTTGCTTTATTTTCTCCATCATGTTTTTCCTTTCATCAACCAGCATCACAGTAAATGACTTTAACTTTGTAAGATCATCTTTGAGGCTTAGCTCAGCCTTTTCCAACCTACTTTCAGAACATTCGAGCTCTTTCACTCGACTCTTGACGACCTCCAATTCATTCAGCAGGTCTTTGGTTAAGTTCTTTTCTTTCTCCAGATTCAAGTGGAGCTGGGAGCATTCTGACTTACTCTTGCTAAACGCTTCCTCCAGTTTCTCCAGCTCGGACATTCTCTTTTGTAACTTCTCCACTTCAAGTTTGAGCTCCTTGCTGTGGTGTTCTTCCTCCTGTAGCCTCTTCCGCAGTTCCCTGCACTGGGACTCGGTTTTGGTGATCTCCTCATCTTTACCCTCCATCTCCAGTACGCGCTTTCGGAGATTTTCCACTTCTGCCATGAGGCTGGAGTTGCCACATTCTCCTCTGGCGATTTTGTCTCTTAACTCCTGAAGCTCTTCCTCTGCCTTCTGTAGATTTTTGTTGGTCTCTTCTAGCTCCTCGATTCTTTGAGATAAGCCGACCAGCTTGAGTCGCAGTTGTCGATTGTGAGACTCCTGGTTAGCCAGCTTAGCGTTCATCTCTTCATGCTCTTGAGTGAATCTCGAGGCTTTGTGTTCGAAGTCCACCTCTAACTTGAGCAGTTTCTGCCTGTCTTCTTTGAATTTGGAAGTGACAGCTTTGAGCTTTTCTTCTTCCTCCCTCAGTTTCTGGGTAAGATCCTGCACTTTCTGGCTTTGCAGGCCCAGTTGCTCGATATGCATTTGTCTTTCATCCACCAGCATGAGTGCGAAGGACTTGAGTTTGACAAGCTCGTCTCTCAGTTTATTGAGCCGCTTAGCATTTTCCTTTTCTTTGCGGGCTTGGTAAGCCTTTTCTTGTTCAAGGAGCTTTTTCAACCTAGCAAACAAAATATAGCCATGTTAAAAGCAGTAATCAGCCAATATGGTTAAGTCTTAGACATTTAAAAAGAAAACCTTACCAAAAAAAACCCCTTATTGGTTGCTGTACTATCAATTACAAATAACCACTAATTAAATGAATCAGAAGTGAGGATACTGCTTAACCTTAGACAGGGTAGTAACTTGAAGGGGCATGAGGAGTTCTGCTAGGATACTAGTTTCTGTTATGTGCTCATTATATAGGATTTTTTACTTTATGAATTTTTTCAGTTCTAGGATGGAACCCCGAGAGCCCTGAGCTACATACCAGCCATTTTTTATTTTGAGACAGGGTCTCTAAATCCCATTGAACTTGCAATCCTCCTTTCTCAGCCTCCCAAGTAACTGGGATTACAGGCATGTGCCACTGCCTTTGTGCATGTATATAATACTTTCAGAAAATAACCAGTAAAACTAGGTTGTGCAGTAATAATGACTATTTACATAGTGCTTTCTGGATTCTGAGCCCTAGTCTCTCTGAGACATGTATGTCTGCTGTCATCCTCATGAGGAAAATGAGACAAGGTGACCATGTCACCTGCCCCAGTCACACAGCCAGGAAGGGGCAGTGCTGGGATTCCAACTCTGCCAGCAGAACCCTTACCACTGGGTATCGTACAACCCCGAGAGAAATTAGGTAAGGAAAAGGGAAGGCCCAGAAAAGAACCTTTGGGTTTTCTTACTTTGAACCCTTGAAATAAACCAATTAGCTGATAGGGAGAATGCGGGAAAGGCTTTCTGAATCAAAAGCTGGTCTACATAAATGCATTTTGGCTGACATCAGAACTGGCACAGAATTTGGTCTCAGTTCCTTATTTTTAAAAAAATTAGAACTAAATAGAGAGGAGATCTAAATTATCATCACTACATAAATGTGGCAACCATGGGAATTATTATGTTTCATGTTTATGAAATAGTTTCTCTATGGTATTTATGTACAGCTTTAAAAGTAAGGATATGTCAGAGTAACAATGTATCATTCTTGGGTTGGTAGTTAACTTGTATCAATTGTAATGGCTAGCCTTCCAGTTCTATAAACAGATTTAAAACTATATTCACTATGTTAGTGTAAAAGTGCATTTTAGTCAATAATATGTTTACAAGAGAAGCAAGTTATAAACAACCACTAACATGTATGTGTTTTAAGTATACTTTATTCCTTCAGTATATTTGGTGCCTTTATTATTTAGACTCATTTATTTCATGTTGATGACTGCATTAGCTTTTAGCCAAGTAAATAGAATTTGTATCACATTTCGCTGTGTAAGAAATGGTTGGACATACACATGGCAGCTATTCATAATTAAAGCCATTTTCAGACAAATTTACCATAGAAATGGTTCTGATGATGTCATCGAGTTTTTTTAATAGAATTTTTTTTTATACAACATATCCTTGCGTCTAAGGTTTGTGTGTGTGTGTGTGTGTGTGTGTGTGGTAGGTACTGGGGACTAAACTATGATGATTTTATGTCTAAAGGTGTAGGGAAAAACTTTTCAAATCCTATGGGGTCATGTGAGCAATACTTAGTAGTTTCACTAAACATGGTCCTCGTGTATAAAAGGGCATTTGTTGACCTGAAGTGATTTGCATGTGTAGAAAACATAAAATTGGTGAGCAATCTTCAGGCGGAGGAGGGCAAGTGGAGGTGGGGAAGATAAAGGGAAGGGAGTGAGCTGACTTTCCAGCTAGGGGTGGGGTTGCCAACAAGAAACCTTGTTCTGGGGAAGAAATGTTTGCCAACCTAGAGCCTCCCTAGTCTTACCTGATTTCAAGTCTCTTAAAAGCTCACCCCAAACTCTAATTTTTGCCAATACCTAATTCAAAATAAATAGAAAAAGTCTCCTCTGTAATGTGTTAAATGCCTTATTATTTCTTTTAATTTTCACAGCAACCCTTTGAGTAAGGCATTATTATATCATTATAAACAGGGAAGTTATTGGAATTAAAGGAAGATGATTAAGAAGGGGTAGGCTGGAATTTTGAACTGAATATTAATAACAATGTGATTCCTCACATGGATATTGCCTGGACAGCTCAAATTTGCAAGGCTTTATGTTAACTTCATCTCCGTTCAATTCTTAGAATTGCCAAGTCCTTTGGACTCTACTTTTACACCTAACATTTTAGCTTATACCTAACTTTGTGTTAAGGGTAAAATGACCCGAATCATTAATAAAAAGGCAGGTCAGTAATGTACAGAACCTGACATCAATCCATTCAGTGGCATGGACATTGCCATTCAATAAGCTGTCAACCCCACTGCACTGTTCATTCTTTATTGCTTCTGAGCTCCCACTCTTCCTCTATCCCATCACTTGTCCTATCATTCTTGCCAGTTTTGTGGGGGGGGGAGTTTTGTTTTTGTTTTTGTTTTTGCTTTTAATTTTTGAGACACAGGGTCTCTCTCACTGTGTAGTTCAGGCTGGCCTTGAACTCACTATGCAGCCCTGATGCCCTCAAACTCACAGCGCTCTTCCTGCCTCAGCTTCCCAAGTGCTGGGATTCCAGGCATGAGGCCCAGCTTCTTGACACTTTGTGAAATAGTGCTGGAAGTGCTCTTCCATGAGTGTTTTATGAGGTGTGATAAAAAGTACAGTGAATGCTGCTGCCTAGTGCCATCCAACAGAAAGGCAGGCTTATAAAAGCATTATGGTGCGTCCTCCTCCACCTTGCTCACCAGACCTGGCACGGTGCGACTTGCAGTTCTTCCCCAAAGTCAAAATGACTACAAATGGTAAACATTTGGAATAAGTCAGAACATCAAGAGAACCACAAAAGCTCAACTAGACATGAAAGAGGGCATCTAGAACTGCTTCAGAAAGTGGCAAGAGTGATGGGGTAAGTGTGTTGGGAGCGAGGGGGAGTATTTTGAGAGGGATTAATGGCAGTGTGTCCTTTACTGTAATTTATTTTTTATAAAACTAAACATTAACTACTGTATATTGTTTGATCACACCTCCTATTTTGAATTCGGTTACATCTTACCTCCTCCATTTCCATCACCTTGTCCCAAGCCACCATCATCTCTTGCCCGGATTATTGCAAAATCCACCTAATCTGACTCCCAGCCTCCATTCCTGCCCACTCTCAGCCCACTCTCACCCATTCTTCCTTCCCAAAAGCCTTAGTGATAAAAAAGCAAAGCAAAGCAAAGCAAATACTTGAAAAAGAAAAAGACAGAAGTAGATACAGAAAACAGAGCAGGAATGATATTCTAATGCATTTGTACATATACACAGATGAGACAGACATGAACACACTCCCTCTCCATGTAAAGCACATTGTTTTTCCTTATAGCAGTCATCTGGTTAACAATAAAGAAATAATAATAGCATGTTGCTGTTAATAAAGAAGTGATTATGGAATACCACCAATCTGTAATCACCAGTGAAATAATGAATGTGAATAATGCTCATCAATGTCTCCCAAGAACAGAGAATGCTGGACAGTGTATACTTATCTCCACCCAGGAAATACTCTTACCTAAAATACTGAGCCTGAATCATAGTAAGCTCCTAGAGCTAATTGCACACTTCAGGAAAGACGGGGCAAGGAACTGCTAAATGACCTCACAATGATGAATCTGAAAAATCCAAAAGGTGGGCAACTATATGGGATGAAAAACCTTGTTTCTTTAATAAATAAATAGCAAGATGAAAAAAGAACAGGGAGGGGGCCTATAGTTTAACAGAAACTTAGAATACAAAGCAAGCAATTGTAATCTTTTAGATCTGTTTCAAACTAATTTTTAAATGAGACAATTGGAAAAATTATATTGTTGATGAATTATTATTAAAGTTAGGTTTGATAATGAACTGTAATAGTACTTTTTTAAGTCTTCATCTTTTAAGGATATATATATATATATATACACATTTCTGAATAAAATTTATAGCTGGGATTTATATCAAAATGATCCAGGGCCAGGGATTTAGCTCAGTGGCTCTGCACCTGCCTCACAAGCACAAGGTCCTGAGTTTGATTCCCAGTACCAAAAGAAAGAAAAAAGATCCAAAGGAACGGGAATAGATGAAACTAGACTGGTCATGAGTTTACTGTTGAAGCTAGGTGATGGGTATATCCGGGTTCATTACATTATTTTCTTCAACTTTGCAAATGTTTGAAATTTTCATAATAAAATTTTTTTAATTCCCTTTTAGAATCTTTAATTTCCCTTTCTCTTCTGAGTTTCAGCTCCTTTTGTCTTTGGTCAAATTTTTACTTTCCTTATGGTGCCTTGTAACTCTTCTATTTGTCTGTGGTTGTGGTTGATTCTTTCATTCTTTTCCATGTTAAAAAAAAATTGTTAGAAACTTTTACTTTTTCTTTCTTATTGGGATCCATTTGTGATGTTTAGTCAAACACATGCTGGACAAAGTATTCTTACTGTTCTGCTCCACAGATATTTGTTGTTTATCTTTCCTTTTTAAAGTCTAAGGACAAAAAAAATAAAATAAAATAAAATAAAGTCTAAGGACAAACCATTTGGGAGATGAAATGGGCAGTGATAGATTGGTTTTCACTTGAGGGCCTGCCTGCCTGTATCCATCCTCACTTCTCCTTGGAAGTCAGCAGTATTGGGTTTCGTGGGTTCCCCCCCCCCAACTTTCTAGACTTTCCCACTTTTCAATCATTCCTCTGAATTTATCAGCCTTAGTCACAGGGCAGCAATTAGCTGTGTGTCTTCAAAACATTGTCCCTAGTCACCGTCTTAATCTATTGGACCCCACTTTGAACACTGATGTCACTGCGAAGCCATCCTAGGCTTGTTGCTCAGCCAGGCAATGCTAATTTCCCTTCTCAGCACACTAGTTTTGCTTTTCTTCAACTCTCCCTGTATGGATATCTCGCAGTCTTTCAAGAGAAAGAGCAGGTTAAAACTAGCAAGGGCATGGCAGTAATTAAAGATGAATGAATCTCAAAAGAGTCAAGCTAGCATGCATCTTGGAGTCTTTA